CCTTATTTGTTGCAAGATATGCATTGTCTATAAAATATAGGGGGAGTGTTGATCCTAGTATGTGTGCCGTGTAGTCCAAAGCACTTTTCTAGATAGCACACATCTAGGGGAGCCCGTCTATATTTTAGAGATGTGGGGTTTGCTTATGTCATATATTTCCCCCTTTGTGCAAATCCCGTATTGTCATCAATCCACCAAAAACGGGGAGATTGTAAGGGCATATTTATCCCTAAGGTGTTTTGGTGATTGATGACAATGCTTTTGCGGACTAATCGTGTGCTTTGAGCATTTCAGAGATTCATCCTTTGGCACGAGACGATTCTTTCCCCTCGGAGTTTTTATTCAAGACAGTGTAGCTCTTTCGTTTCTGGTTTGGTGGACTTGTCTCGTAGGAGTCACCGTACTATCAAGAGGGGGTCCGCTTTGGTAAGGCTAGGGTGGAATCAACACGTACACTTCCTTTTCGCACCCTCTGAGCCTTCCCGCGTCGATGGAGGTCTATTTCCCTACTTTATGAGCTTGTTTTGGTCCGAGCGGTAGTACCGCGGTGCCCAGCGGTAGTACCGCTTGTGGGTCCTCAGCCGCAGTACCGCTGCGGTACTAGGCTCCTACCACGTCGACTCAAGGGGGTCGCCTCTAGTGTCGGATTGTGCGGCACTAAGCAGCGGCAGTAGAAGCGGTAGTACCGCTCGAGAGCGGTAGTACCGCCCTACCACCGCGGCAGTACCACACTGGGTTTGTTTCCTGCTCATACACCAGCCCTCCCAGACTGCACGGCAGTACCGCGAGGGGGAGCAGTAGTACCGCTGGTCCCAGTGGTAGTACCACTGCCCCCTACGGTAGTACCGCCCTCTGCGGGACTGTTTTAGGGGGTAACGATTGGATTGTTCCCCCCTCTATAAAAGGGGGTCCTCTTCTTCATCGTTGACTCACCTCTTAATGCTCCAAGCTCCATTTTCGCCCGATCTCTCTCCCTAGCTAATCAAACTTGTTGATTTGCTCGGGATTGGTTGAGAAGGCCTCGATCTACACTTCCACCAAGAGAAATTTGATTCCCCCACTAATCCCTAGCGGATCTTGTTACTCTTGGGTGTTTGAGCACCCTAGACGGTTGAGGTCACCGCGGAGCCATATTCCATTGTGGTGAAGCTTCGTGGTGTTGTTGGGAGCCTCCGATTAAGTTGTGGAGATTGCCCCAACCTTGTTTGCAAAGGTCCGGTCGCCGCCTCCAAGGGCTCCAATAGTGGAATCACGGCATCTCGCTTTGTGTGAGAGCGTGAGGAGAATACGGTGGCCCTAGTGGCTTCTTGGGGAGCATTGTGCCTCCACATCGCTCCAACGGAGACGTACTTCCCCTCAAAAGGAAGGAACTTCGGTAAACATCCTCGTCTTCATCGGCTCCACTCTTGGTTATCCCGTACCTTCACTTGAGCAAGCTTATTTGTATTATTTCCATTGCTTGCTTGTGTGCTTGTTGTTGTTGCATCATATAGGTTGCTCACCTAGTTGCACATCTAGACAACCTACTTTGATGCGAAGTTTAATTTGGCAAAGAAAAGCTAAAAATTGTTAGTTGCCTATTCACCCCCCCCCCTCTAGTCAACTATATCGATCCTTTCACTTGGGAGCAAAGTAGTCCCTCTGCATTAGCTTTTCTTCGAACACCCTATCCCGTTTGATCACTCTTCTCCATTTGATTGAGCCCTTGAAGTTGAGAATATGCTCCATTTGCCGGTCCATTTTCTCGTGCATGCCCATGAGCATGATCATGTCCACTTCTACGTCCGAATCCGAGGAATCGAAGAACTCACCTTGAATCATTTGATCAAGCTCCGTCGGTCCATACTCCACGTCCGATGAAGCATCCAAATCTATCGTTTTCCCTAATAAAATCACAAAAAAATTGTTCAAACAATGTGTCGAATACATCAGGCACAAGGCAGGGCCACAGAGTTGCCGGACGTATCGCGGTGGCGTCCGGGCCGGCGACGACATCCCCCGTAGCGAGGACGGGAGAGAGGACTGCTATACCAGAGCTGGTGGCATAGAGACTATATGAGATCTTCCTCCATGGGTTATATGAGATCTTCCTCTTGATACAAGCCCATGAAAAACACCTAACCCACATAGAACCACCACACACGTAGATCACGGGTTAGTACACAAAAATGTAATGGACAATGCTTACCATACCGTGAGATCACTTGATCCCACTCGGTATATCTTCTATGTTTTGTGTTTTTTCTGAAATATGCATGGAAGCGTATCATTGCATTGATAGGTAGAGTTCGTTACAGGGTTAGAGGATCGCCAACACGTGCGCTAGTAAGGCATGTCGGGGATCCGCATGAGAAGAAGAGGAGCGGGTTACTCAACCCAGAAAGCAAAATCTATGTTAGATCTAGTATGGCTTGAATCCCCTTGGCGTCGGCCTTGGCCCAGGCGCGCACTCATCCTGGATGGCTAAGAGCAAGTCATCAATGGAGGGTTACCGATGATCAAAGATGATGACGTTGCGATGCTTTATGTGTTGACCAACTTGAATCGACTCTTTGTACTTAGTCCTGATCAGCCTTGAATCATATCTTCTCTCTTCATAAAGATGATGTCTTGAAGGTAAACATGAATGTTCACACAATCTTCTTTCAAGACATGCTTGCAATAGGCTCAACTCTCACATGACCAATCTTTGGATAACTCCTTGATTAGCACCTTGGTCGACACATAATCTTCTTCTAATAACCTTGAAACCATGAAAGGCATAATTGGGAGGATAGTCAAAGGTGTAGCTTTACTGATCAAGATGAAACCATCAAACATCTCTTTCTAGATTGCCCGCTGGCCAAACTATTATGGCGTTCAGTTCATATAGCCTTTAATATCACCCCTCCAAATAGTATTCACACATTATTTGGGATGTGGCTAAATGTAGAGACAAATATTGCGAGACATATTCGGATAGGAGTATGTGCATTACTTTGGGCTATATAAAACTATGGAAATGATATGGTTTTTAACAGACAAACTCATATAAATTTGTTGCGGGTTATCTACAGGGGCACTGCTTGGATCTGTATGTGGTCATTACTCACCCATGTAGAAGCCAGGGAGCTTTTGGTTACTGGGTCTACCCGATGGGAGATGGTAGTTCGGCATATCTACAACCGGTTTGGATGGGGTCCAATAATAAGATAGGTGTTTAGTCATTAGTCCTGTTTTCGCCGGTTGTGACATCTTTTACTTGGTTTTACTTTTCAGCTTTAACGAGCTTGTTCCGAATCGTAAACTTTTTGGATACTTTGTTTAATAAAGGGGTTGCATGCATTATTCTGATGCAGAGGTCGGGGGTAATCCTTGTTTTCTAACCTTGAAACCAACAAATGGTCTTCAAATAAAGCCTATGGACAAACCATTCAATTGTAAATCAAGGCAACCATTAGTCCATAAAGATTGTCATCAATTACGAAAACCAAACAAGGGGCACCATGCTCTTTCAGAGACCAAAAAAGGTTGCAGTGAACTAATCACACCCTATATTACTTGTGGCTTGTGTTGTCCGAAAGGGGCGATGTTGCTTGTGGCTAAAACCCTACTTGTCCAACAAAAAGAAAATGCACTCCAGTCCCTCCCTTTCGGTGCACTTACTTGAATTATCCGAAATCTCTGATTTTGATGTCAAATGAACGAGAGAAGTGGTGAAACGTCC